TAGCAGATTTTAATTATCAGTGAAAATTAAAAATTTAAACCCAGTGAATAATTGATGCATTTACAGTATTTACATTACTTGTACAGGATTATACACATTACATCTCAATCCTTATATCTGTACCTAAATAAAGGAAATCTTGAGACAAAATGCTTCTGTGATGACAGGAAAGTCATTTGAAGTATTAGTATAAAGTTGACCTTCAATAAAATGTAATTAAATAAATAACTATAAGTGATATTTCACCTATCTAAGTCAATTTCACATTGCAGTGGAAAACATGATGTAGCATCTAAATCATACAAATGTATCATAACAAATTATTAGTTAATTCAGAGATATTGATTAATCTAATCAAAAATTATTGTCCCTGAAAGTCTACCCGATCAAAAGGTGTAATAGAAAAGATCGTGTTTAAAAGTATTATGATACTGTTCAGTAGTGTTGTCAATTTTTAGCTCCGCTGTCGACTTTGTCGAGCGGAGCTTATCATGAGTGATTGTCCGTCGTCTGTCGTCGCTCGTGTCAGCTTTTCACTTTTTCGACTCCTTCTTGAAAACTACAATTGTTATTGCTTTGATACTTGGTGTATATGTAGCTTGGGTAGACCTCTATCAGATTTGTTCATTTTGTGGTGATATCTTCAATTATCTAATTATGATGAAGATTTTTGTCATTTTTGGTAAAAAGTGATGTTTTTGAATTCTTGTTGAAAACAGCAAGTTAATTCCTTTGATATTATACATATTGTTCATTTTCTAATGATATCTTCATTTCTTTAATTGAAATGTGCATTGCTAACAGCGGAGCTATTTCAGCCGACAGTTTGCAACAGTCTTGGTACAAACTGATTAATTTATCGTTAGTCACTTGATGATACTGGTTCATGGTCATATGGCTCAACAATCATGTGACTATGATTTTTTAATACATGTAGTACATCTTTCATGTTAGTGACTCGTAATTTTAACAAAATGTTAACCTTTCATTATCTGGAGTTTCAAAAATGTGTCAAAGTTTTATAAATTTGAAAGAACTATTTTTTTACATTTACCTCAGCCAAAATTTACACCTAGTGTTTTACTTTGCACATACATGTATGCAACTGGAACATTTGTCACACTGGAAACTTACTAAACTCTGTCATTTATTTGAAATGTTTTAACAATATTAATATTCTTATCAAGATGATGTATGTCTTATTTATCTCATGTCAGCCTAGCAATATTTTGAGATACAAAGAAATAATTTTACCATTGAAACCAGTGAAAAAATGTTTTTTTTTGATATTTTGGAATCTTGTTTCTCAAAAAACATGTAACAATGACACATTTTCATGTGAATTTACTATTATAGCAAATTTCACTTATGAGTGGAAATAACGAAATTAAAACCCATCAAATAATTAATGACTTTACAGTACACTCTGGCCATCTCAAAAATGTCTGTAAATGTTGATTTTATTGAAAGAGACTAAGTTACCTTGGTTACTATAGTTACATTTTAGTTACCATGTCAACGATATAAATTTGTCACTTTGTGTTTTAGTGACTTGGTGATTTAAGTCAGTTAGTTGACTATGAAAAACAATCAATAAATTCATTTTACTAGTAAAAAATCTGCAATTTAGTCCAATATATGCCTCCAGCTTTTCCTCTTAATTCGCAAGCAACATTGTCTCCTTTTTTTTTTTTTCAACCCACACACTTCTGAAATTGATTTTTCTCTCTCAAATACATTTTTTCCCAAATTTTTGTTCATTTTAAAATCATAACTACCGTAACATTACTTGCAAGCAGATGCAAAAAAAATGGTGATGGAAACTATGGTATATTTTCAAATGATATATAGTTTGGCACTTTACAAATGCTATTGGAGTTGTATTTTTCTGTATGCCTTTATTTCATGTTTCTCATGTTCTAGGAAAAATTGAAAAATGATGCCGTGACAAGGTTTTAATCTGATTTTTTGTATTAGGATTATTTAATACCACAACAAGATAAACATGTGTATTCATTGTTTAACCTTTTCATCACCAGTCTTTTTCGCTCAAATTTTTTTACGATTTTTTTCTTCTATTCTTCAGTATCTCTGGGAATGAAGCCTAATTTTGAAGCCAACAGACAAAATTTGAGTCAATTTTCAGGTTTTACTCAAAAAAATTGTCTATTTTTGTCCCAATCTTCTGAAGGAAAGTGCTATAAAACAGGACTATTTTGTAATTTGTGATGAAAAGGGGGAACTGGTGGTGAAAAGGGTCAACAAATGTTAAATGGTGCTTTCGAATACATGCATTGAAGACTGGTTTAAATCAACAAAACATCCTGAAACAAAAACAAAAAAAAACATTCTTACCAGTACGCACAATTGCAAAAAAAGTGTTTGAGATGCAGGTTTCAAGCTGATGTGCACAATGACAAGAAACAAAAACATTTTTTGGAGGGCCTTATAAGCTGAAATAAGTTGGAAAGTGAACGACTTTGAATACCAAAGTTTTGCATATTTTGATGTATTTTTTCACAAATTCTTTAAGTGTGGACATTGGTTTATAATTTTAGGAAAGTATCATAAGTTGACTTCCGCATCTAATGGTTGCCATTTGAAATAAAACTTTTATGTGTTTGGGATGTTTGTGTGATAATTATCCCGTGTAATCATTCCTTGTGAATTTGAGTTTATTTGCATTTGTTGATTCTAATAATTAATAATTAACATTTTTTACCAACCAGGGCCTATCTTGTGACCAAATATGGAGTTGTTCAAAGTATAGTCACATCTTTATGCATGTCATTGCCTCATCTTTCAGTATACCGCCAAGTATCAGTTATCGAGTCACTCAACCAATTACAACATGTTTTCAATCACATCAATCTTTCCGTCCACTGAGTACATACGTATCACTGAGTGTTTACAACGAATATCCTCCAGCAGTATCTTCTTTTTTTGCATCCATCAGTTTAAAATATGCAAATTGAACCTTTTCTGTGTCATGATCGGTTTTATGACGCATGTGATTCTTTTTATGTGTTTGTAACAGAACACTGCCATAGATGGTCTCTTAACCCTAAAGTGTGTTTAGTTATTTGCATTTCTCAGTTGGGAGAATTAAAAAACATTATTGGTCTATTGGTTTTTTGCGATGCGATTCAAAATGGTCAAGCCATTTCCTGCCGAAAATTCATCGAAACAAGCATTTCTGCCAATCTGGAACCAGATCTTGTTTGTGTATAGATGAATTTTGTTCAAACTTAATACACGTTATGGAACCTTGATATACGCCATTTTTTTGTTCTAGAGCCATATCTCTGACATGCCTTGACTGATCATGTTCAAACTCTATATATACATTATACATCATGTCACAAATACTGTATGTGTGAATCAAATTCAAGATGGCCGAATGTCGACCATTTTAACATTAAAAATATATCAATCTTTGGTGAGAACTAGAATTGCGGTGATTCACATTTGTCTTTGTTGAATAATATCAAACTATTATCAAAATACAGTGACCCTTTGCTAAGTCGTGGGTGTTGGCCAAGTTTCAAGCAAAAACTGTGACTTACATGTATAAAGGGTCGTGACTTACCAAGGGTCCTTGTTCATGGATTGAAAATGAATAAAAAGCATATACATGTGCATACACACATAGGTTTATTTAGTATGTATGTAAAACGTCACTGTTTTATCAATGTCATCATTGTCTGATAATTTTGCACATTTGCTGTTCAGTTCGTCTCTTGGTCACTTTCAAAAACAAATTTTCTCAGCTTTTCTTCATTCTTCAGCCACCCACGAATACTGAACTCCCCGACTGCTAGATCACGTGCAACCTTTGACTTGCTTTCACCAATCTTGACACAGTCGATCACTGCAAGTTTTTTATGTACATGTTTGAACAGGCTGGATAGCTTTTGCTTAGACATGCTGCTCAGTTGAGAACTAGAGATTGGAATGATGGATTCAACTCATTGTAGCAAATTTTATAGAGCTATATCAAATGGGGGACTGACTGAGAAGTACCGGTACATAAAGTCGTAATTTCACACCTCCGTTGACACCTTGAGTTACGCAGCGGCCACCCTTTATATCTCAGTAATTGACAGACAGTTGGTGTTAAGTGTTCTCTTCCACCCTTTTAACGGCTAATTAAATACACAATACAACAAAACATTAGTTCTTTTATTTCAACTGTTGGCAAAACACGATAGAATTTTTGGGAGCCATCCAGCTACCCGCGCCTTAGCTGAAATCGCAACTTAGTGAAGGGGTCGCTGTAGTATGTAGTTGGCAATGTCTAATGAACATTACAACGAGCTAAAGCTAAAATTTGACCATAGACACATCTCTGTCATTTACGTAAGTGCTACTAAAGTTCTACTAAAAGAACAAATATGGTACGAGGAAGGTACCGGTACTACAACTGAGGACAGAATGGCATGACAGTTATCAAGTCATCTATAATATCTTTGTTTTTTTTCATATACCACCGAGTTTCATCTCAGTGGAAAGCACTTTCTAATTTCACACAAGAATGCTTTCAATCATCACACTATTCTGTCATGTGTAGTACATTGATTCTTATGAATAATCTTTATTTTTTCTTAAATGTGGTCTGATGTGAATTACCGTGTCTGGTCTATTTTGAGGCGTATTCATTGCTATTCGTATATTCAGTGACGTTTTGGAACCCGGGAGTGGAACACTTCCAAAAAAGGAAAGTAGATGTGCGATTGCGCAAGAATTCTACGCATCAGGTCACACATGTGTTATAGTTGCATAGAACAGGTTGGATCAGAAGCTGACTTTTTTATTGGTTGGCAGCATACAATTCATGCAACTCATTAGCATATTTATTTCCTCAAAAATCCAGTGACAACTATCAATGCGAGAAATTGTACAAATTAGTTCTTTAAGGAATTATATATTAAAACAATAAAATAGCTATGACTGGGTCAGTCTACTCTAAAACTTTTATGTGTTTGTTTGTTTGCTTACAGCTCAGCCTCATCGTTCTCGTGTGCAGTCCAAGGAAGAGAGTAACTCAGAATCTAATTCAGATTGCGAAAACAATGAAGTTTTTAAAGTTAACCACCAACCAGCCAAAAAGATAGACCAGAAATATGATCCAAATAGGTGAGAAAAAAGCTAATTTGATTCTAATTTTGTATTTGAAAAAGAGTCTATTTGAGTCACTTAATGTAGGATTTCTTCATTTGTTGAATTTTAACATTTGCATCTATCTATCAAACGTTTTGGCGAGTGTTATAAAAACTTGGTGTGAGCAGTTTCTTTTTATTAGATTAGATTGAATTCATAATCAATAGTTATTAATTAATCTACAAATCTGAGTTAATACTTACAAGTATTGGCATATTTACCTGGTTGCCCTCCGACCATACCAATATTTACTATTGTCATAATATGTCATAATTTCTCAGAACTAATTTTCCAAACTGTATTCATAAATGGACACATCTGAAAACAACTTTTTTACACGTCTAATGTGTACTAGGTTTTGAGTGCCCTGTTTTACAGAAATAAATCTACCACATGATTAAACTACTTTTAGAACAGCCAAGTCAAATCCCATGCTGTATAGTACGTTTGAGATATACAGTAATAGGAAAAATCGAACTGCACTTATAATTACTGGTTCCGTCGTATGCCGCAATCAAAGTTATGATAATTGTGTTATTATTAAACCTAATTTTAATACATCTAAGATATAATTTAACATGTTTGTTTTCACTGCTAGGTTTCGTCTTCATTTTGAAAGAGAATCAAAAGTTGAATTATCAGAGAGAAAGAAAAGAGCTAGTGAACCATTTTTGATGCTATCCGAGGTAAATATTGTTTTATAAATATTATAGTCAATTATGGCATAATTATTTATAATCACTTGTTGGGAATGGTAATTTTATACTAGGCATACATGACCAAAGTTGCCCACTAATTGAGCACACAAGTTTTCTGTTTAAATTTACAAATATCGAATTATAAAGTCAGAGATTTTCTGGAAACCTCATGGGCAGTTAGATCGTTTTGATGCTCAATAAAGTTACTTTAAAATAGAGTTGATTAATTTTCTTAGATTTCACATCGTTTTGTTTTCAACCACGTGAGAGACTTTATTATAGTTAAGGACTCATTTGGAATATTGCACGCAATGTGGCTCATGGCAACTTTCAATTTTTTCCACATTTACTTGGGCTGATTTTATCCAAAGTTGACACAGAGATTATATAGCACAGGGGATGTATGCTGCATATTTTGTTTGATGCTTGAATTCAATATGGCTGATCTGGTGCCATAAACATTGGATTCTACATTGGGGCATAAATTCACACAGGGCTAGAGAAAACCACTGGATGGCATGAATAAATTATTGAAAACCTTTAAGGATGATTATGATTCCTTGGAACAACTATCAGAATTCAGAGACCAGGCCACACCAAGAGGCTCTAACCAAACGATGGCCAAGCTTTTCTCAGATGAAAAATACTTTGCTGCCTTTTTGAAAAAGTCCATATCTTATAAAAGAAACTTCCCAACGCTAGCATAATGCAGCTAAATTTAGAATGAATTTTGTGTTGAAATACACACGGATACATATCAGATTTAGTAAACAAGCATATTCATTTTATTATGTTTTTAATAATTTTGGCAAGAGTTTAATAAATCTGATATTGTATGGTCACTCATGAAATATCCTGTTTATCTGCATGTTGTGAGGTCACATTCAAGATTACATAGGGTTTCCTGTGTCATTTGCATAATGATCGTCACTCACTTATTGCCATAAGTTTACTCCCATGTGATTAAAAAATATTTTCTGGAGCCAGCAAAATATTCGCAGTGTCTGGGATATATGGCTAATATGGTTAATAATTTAATCCATGGCTTTTAATTTAATCTGTGGCTTTTACACAATGCTTGAGAAATATTATCACTGAACATTGTACAAAGATAAGTTGAAGTTGGGAGAATTAGAAATAATGCCTTATGTATATAGGCATTATAAATCACACTTATGTTAGTTAACATCTGAAACCAACATTAATATTCAAAATAATGTAAATCCTAGCTACAGATCTTACAAGAAGTATACCACCGAATAAATAGCATGATTTTTGAAAAAATTAGTAACTAGCAATTTTCATAGGTAAACTGAATATGGCATGAAGTATTTACCGCATTTCACTTTCATTAACAGATAATTGTCAAAGCGTAGTTTTCGCACAGTTACCGTGGTTTACGCATTCACAACAGATTCACGATGGTCGATATCCATGCTGTATCATATAAAAACGATTACCGGTATTTGGAAAAGTTAAACATTGATCAAAAACAAAGTTTTACGACAGTCAAATTAGGGTCATTTTGAAGGGGATGGGTGCTTAGCCGAAAGTGAACCCAAAAATAGAAATGTCCCAAAAGTGGGAGATGGGCGCTTAGCTGAGCATGGCGCTAACACAGTCGAGTACGGTAAAACTATATTCCAGGATATTGATGTATATCGTGAGACTGTCATTCATGTCAAAGTTCAATCTGCTTACATTGATCAATCAGAATACTGCATAGTTTCAAGATTTCAACAATTACATTGCTTTACATTTATTATCCCGCAATCTGATGTCTTTTCCTTATACATGTATAACATTGGCCTTGTTGAATGAAACATTATCTGTTGATAATCATTCTATAGTTTAATTCCTTAGTTCTAACCCCATACTGATCATCTCATTTTCCATAGGATGAATGAAGTTGACAAACTGCCTCTAAATGCAGACATCTGCACAGTGCAAATGTTTTTTTTTGTTGGAATTCTTGGCTGTTATCTTTCATTAAATTAATTATTTTCTTAAATTGCATGTATTACTACAAACAGAGAAAAGATGTATAATAAGGTCATTACAAGAATTACCAGAAAGTATGCACTTAGGCAGTACAGAATTGCATTAACCGCTATGTGCCAGTCAATATGATCACTGTACTGCTTCTGTGCATACTATGCGATATTCTTGTGATAACCTCGATATGTCATGTAATACCCCAAGATAAATAAATCTACTTTGTATTTGAATAATCTCAAAATGCAGGATTAAAACTGGCCGGGGCTATGTAAGTGCATTAAATTAGTTAAAACCTAGTGAATACACATATTTAACTACAGAATCTTTTTTTTTCACAAACCTAAAAAGATAATCAAATATAAAATACAAATATGAAACCTAATAAATATTCCTGTAACATCAAATGTGCTAAAATAAACTCGGTGAATATTTCTACTGTAAATGATATAATTGCCGTAGTGAGGTATTACCATCTTACTTTCAGCCAGTTCTTCTGCTAGATTCTTTTACCATGAGTAATCTTACAAAAATACATTATTCCTGTGTTGAGTTAATCATTTCTACAGTCACTAAAAGGCATTAAACTGATGATTGGTCGTTGCTTGGTTTCCACTCTTGACTATTTTTAGTCATCAGACCAGTTTGATATGTGTATTTGTGATAAATAGTTCATGCTTGAATAGATTTCATTCAAACTACAATCCTCTGTAATAACAGTATCATATTTGCCTGCATTCTTGTGGCTAGTTTGTACACAATTATGTAAGGTCTTTTGCTTATCTTTTTCATCACCAGTTCCCTGTTTTCATCACAAAATTCACAAAATATTCCCCTTCAAGTCTGAAGTTTGTTTTCCTTCAGAAGATTGAGACAAAATAACCAATTTTTTTTAGTATAAACTGAAAATTGACTCAAATTTTTTCTGTTGACTCTAAAAATGTGGGTTCATGTCCAGAAATATTGAAGAATAAGAAAAAGTGCAGGCAGTTTTCGAGCGAGAAAGTTTGGTGGTGAAAAGGTTATAGCATGGACTATTTTGGGTCCAAAATTTTATTTGGGTTCATAGCTCTTCTTGTGTTGGTCTTTAGTCTCTGGAATGGTATTTTAGTAATTTCTGATATATTTTGTGACATTAAATTTGTTATTTTCAGAAATTAGGATTTTGTGAACACATAAGAGCTATAGCTCCTCCCATAAACTTGCATAACACAAACATGCAATCCCAAATGGCATCACACATGTCTTGCACATTCTGCATAAATATTTTTGACCTTTTTATAAGTTTAATTCTATTCCTGTTTTGCAATTATGTATTAAAATTGCTTTAATCACTGTTTTATTTTTTGTTCACTACGAAATCCTGCGTTATGCATGAAATTGTGTAAAAATGGAACAAACAAAAGTCATAGCAGCTAGCGTAGTGACATCAAACCTTGTGTAGGATTCAACGAACATGAAAGTATTTTGAAAGTATTTTCACACCCAATAATGTGCTATTCAACTTTGATGATGGTCAGTGCTGATGAAGTAACGGTATTCCAAAGCAATATCTTCCTCTGAAAGACCGACATTTCAACAATGAGCTATAAGAATGGAATTAAAATTCAAAATCAAATTGTTTGATTTTTGTGGCAGACGTTCGCGCAATACGTGAGATCTTGTAGTGAATCGAAAATTGTCTATTCTCGTTCTTGATAATTAAATGAAATTTGTGAGAACGATATTTTGTCTCAAGATCTACCGGTAAATGAAATGTCCATCTCATGATCTTTTCTGACTCGCAAACATTTGTCTCTCGAAATTAAAGTGGCCTTCAGTATTAATGTATTATGGGATTTGTATTTGCTCAATTAATATGTGTGAATGGCATAGATGTGTCTGTACATGTGGTTATATTTAAATAATCTATTAAACATACAATGCAAACAACTGTACATGTTGGTTTACATGTGCTTCTGTTGGAGATGCGTTTCTAATACTATCGGTAGTAGCTAATCAGTAATTTTGTTCAAGTGGTCAAAGTAGGTTCTTCAGAGAAATTTGAGTAAAATATTACATCTATTATTGTTCTGTTAATAGCAAGAGCAGTGAAAGGCAGATCAAGAAGTGAGCTACATAGATATGTATGTGTACACTTGTATAGTATGGAAATAATCTATATAGGGAAGAAACTCCATATTGGATTTTGCAAAGGGTTGTGGGATAGAAAATTGAACTATAGAGGGCGTTTGGGGGAAGGGGGGGGGGTGCTCACATCTTTTCCATAGAGCCCTATGTTAAAATCAGCTTTTTACCTCGCCTGTTTTCAAGCAAATTAACACATTTCTTCCCTATACCCTAAGAGTTTGAAAATGGTGCACTTATGTGAAGTGACATGAATCATGATAACATTCTGTCAACGGAAACAAAATATTTTAACTGTGAAATGTGTTTCAAGTTATCGACATCTTGAATCCTGCTTAACTCATGTCTGAAATAATGACGCTTATTTCGCTCAACTGTAAAATGCGCTAAATTAAAACCCAGTGAATATGTAAAATTGAGCATAGAACACATTATTTGAATGATAAAACCGTGAATTTAAAACCCACTGAATATGCCTGAAATGCTAAATCAGCGAAATTTAAACCCAGTGAAAATTAGTCCTTTTACAGTATTATTTTTCATGATTGTGGAAAACGTTGCTGGTTACGGAAAATATTCAATTAGCACATTCTCTACTTTGTGAATCATTTAATTATAGCAATGTACATGTATACATTGAGCTGCAATATTGTAGAGATTAGGTCTGTGCATTTTTGTTTATGGCTTTCTCAAGACTTTCCTTTCACAAAGTAATCAGCGGTTTCCAGTCTTTCGCTCAACTTTATATTACTGAATTTTCCACACATTTTTTGCAAGACATTGTGCTATGAAATATGACTGGGATTATTGATTCACATTATCATAAATCAGAGCCCATTAATTTGTTCAATATCAATTCCTATGACCTGTTTGACGTCTTGCTGCAATAACTTAAAAACAAAATTCTAATAAAAAAAAATCAAAGTCAGTTTGTAGCTTATTGTCTTGCAAAACAATTGTGACTGCTTCAGTGTTGTAGTGTGAATGATAACCAGGTAACATCTCCAATTGTGTCTGAACATATCCTCTTCATTACCGGTAAATAACAAACCAGTCAGGTATATTCTGAAATGTATATTGTTACAACTAATTTATTAGCAATACTAATGGTTTTCTTTACTTATTTTATAGCTATATGTGCTAATAACCTTTAAAGCAGCATAATGTTTTTTAGACAAAATTTTTGTGCAACATTTATCCTGTAAAAATGTTTTGATAATTTTGTATCGAATGGACATAATTTCCTATTAGCTACACATCTATTTCAAAAAAAATATACGAATTTAAAAATTATGAATGGTGAAAAAATTTTAACGCTCAAAGGTTAAAGGGCGGTGGTCGTCACGTCGCGTCCTGTTCGATATGGGACTCATAGTGACGTACACAACGCGTCTATTATTAATTGTTTATTTACAGGAAATTCGAACACGCGCTGCACTACGACCACCACGCTTTACCCCGGTAATTAAAAACCAGTGAATATGTAAAGTTAACACATTATATACTGGCTTCTTTTTTTCCTACTGATTTTAGTATGTCTTTGGAGGCTTTCTGTAGATGATGTGTTAGCAATAGGATGTATAGTTTTCTTATCAAACCAGTAAATTTAAAACCTTGTAAATTGTCCCTCCTCTAAAGTATGTTGCTATAGTTACATATTCAGTAAGTGGGGAATGTCTTAATTACAAGCTAATTGCTAATTAAAAAATTCCTCTTCTCTTTTAAGGTTTGCCTTCCATGTTTAAAATCACAATATTTTTTTTAATGGACTGCTTAGAGTTTTTATCTGTCTGTTTTAAAATGTACACATTTATTGAATGCCCAAGAAAATAAAGAAATTACAAAAAAAAAAAACAGTTGTAAAATACAAACAAACAAACATGTATGTATGTGTATCATGAATATGTGAATAACAATTACCATCACAGAACATTTGATTGCTTCAACAGAAATGATAGAGATTAATTATCAAGATATTAAAATATTGTGTCAGTACTATATTTTTAAAATCTAAAAAGGGTCGGGGCTAGGTAAAGATGTACTGTAACTGCAGTGATTATTCACCTGGTTTTTTAATTTTGTTATTTTCACTGATAAGGAGAAGCTCATTGTTTCCTTGATAAATTTGTGAAATTAAAACACAGTGAATATGCTCAAAATAGTAAAATCAAATGCAGTGAAAATAAATGGTTTTACAGTAGAAATACAAGTTATTAGTTTTCTTAATGCTAATATATATTTATGTGCCAGGGTTTTTTCTAGAAAAAAACTGCAAGAGGGAGCACTGCAATTCAGCGGTGCCACTAAATGGGGGAGATAGGGTTCTCCCTACCAGGGTGTTTGATAATTCTAAGTTAAAATGGTGCATTCTATGGCTTCCTTGGGGCCAAAATTACTATCATACAGGTCACAGTTGAAGACTGAGTCCACATGTGATCCCTGGTCAATCAGAATTTTATGGTTGCAGGAGGATCTGCTCCCCAGGGTAAGGGTGCGCATGACCATGGCATGAGGGCGCTGCGCCCCTGTTTCCTGATGTGCTACATGTATAAATCACTCGTGTTCGTAAATCGTTTTAATCAACATTATTCCTATTCAAATCACAGGAGAATTTAGAAGTTGATATTGATGATATTTACAAACCCGGATCCGTGTTAGACATGCCTAAGAGACCACCATGGGAATATTCTTTAACCAAAGAACAGGTTGAGAAAAGAGAGGAAATTTATTTCAACGAATACTTAGAAAATATTTATGATAAATATACACCAAAAGAACTAAGTTATTTTGAACACAATTTAGAGGTTAGTACTGTTCATTCTGATTAATTTGTTTATTCTCCTGACCAAATATGGGCATTTGTGTTTGAGAGCTAGAGGTCATTTGCACGACGTTAAATGTTCATTTTTAACAGTACAAATGCTCATTTTTGGGCTACCATATATTATTTTTATCTTTCAATGTGCAAATGTACATCATGCATTGTCAGTGGCATGTCTGTAGTTTTTCAGTTGAGACAAGAAAACAAAGGCAGATAAAAAGAAACTGAGACGTGATCGTCTATAGCGTTATGAATGTTTTGTGTAATTTACAGGGCACTTTCACAAAAAGTGTTAAAAAACAGAAATTTCAATAGTCGGAATAAAAAAAAAGCATACAACGACATCGACTGTCAGATAAACCATTAAAGAAACATTACTACAGTATATGCACTACCATATTTGCTTACATGTATATCTAAGCTTTCAGAATATGTATAATTTGCTATAGTAACATGCTTAATTATTAACTTTTAACAAGTTTTTCCACTGTTGCTATCTTAGCGTATTGAAAGATTCTCATTTTGATATTTTTTGTTTTGTTTTTCAGACTTGGCGGCAACTATGGCGTGTTTTAGAAATGTCCGATATTGTTCTACTAATTACTGATATACGGCATCCTATATTGCATTTCTCTCCAGCGCTTTATAACTATGTCATTAAGGATCTTAAAAAACAACTTATATTAGTTCTCAACAAAATAGACTTGGCTCCATCCTCTTTGGTGGTAGCGTGGAAACATTATTTCCAGACTAAATTCCCTGAGCTTAGAATTGTTTGTTTCACTGCTTTTCCCAAAGAAAGGATTTTGGATAATGCCGATCCCAATAAAAGTGAGTACTATGACCTTTATATATTTAATATGCTAATGGATCTTGACGCAAATGGCTGTCAAGATCTCATCGAGAGTGAGCAAGCCACATGATTTGTTTTTTCTCTTCAAAATAGCATTTACTGTTCTCATTACCATAATTACATAATTGTAGATTGGAGGCGACAGTGAACACAATTACGAAAGAAAATTTAGAAGACGAAGAATCTTTATTTGTTCTTAAAGGCCACTGGTCCATATCACAAAATACAAAGAAAAATAAATACATAACTATTCTTTCCTGAGGTCAAAAGTCACCTTATGTTAATACATTCTTGTCTCAGAATTTGTGCTTTATGTACAAACATTGTTAGTTTTGTGATTATTTGGTCAGATTTATTTGATATAATGGAATACAATTTTTTTAATTTTGGATAAGTACATGTATATGACCATGAGGGTAAAAAAAAAATTTCTAATGTTTTCATACATATGGCATTTTAAAACGAAGTGGAATTCATCCTCTATTACGAGAGAAAATGACACTATTCCGGGGTGAAAACAAGTTTCGTGACATTCTCCTACTGAACAAGATCCCATCTGTCATTTGCATTTGAGGAGGGTTATCCTCGTGCTGTTTCTCAAATATGAAAAAATATATTTTAACCGATTGCATCTTACATACACAGTCCCTCTATCCCCGGTCTGGAAACGGCTATTGTCTAAGGTGTGAATTACCAGCTGTACTCGAACTACGCTGGGTATGGCTTTCTGCGAAGCATAGTCTCTTGAAATGTTTGATTCATTGTTCCCTTCATATTCTACCGAAAAAAAACTATATTTTGATACTTTCTATAGATTTAGAAGCAAAACACAGTTCTTTAGCCGGCAAGTCTTTCCATAGTGGCATATTGACATTATTATTCGTGAATATCATGCTTAAATTTGAGGTACCTCTGTCAGGGATTACCACTCGGAACACCGGGGATAGAGGGACTGTGGTAGAACGTTGTGAATGCTAAGAAATGTTTGTTTTTTTTCTTGGTTAGTAATCGTGATTACACAAAATTATTGTTGTATTCTAAAATGCTTGTAATACATGCTTTGCAAATAAGCAAGGACTTTGTATTTGCATAGTTTTTCTAGTTTTAACTTTTATCCGTTTTTCAAGCCCCCCCCCCCTAATTTGTTGTCAATTTTTTCCGTTTTTCCGGAGGGGTATATACTCGGACAACTACGGTAAATCATTGTATTTTCTTGGTGTTTTTATGTACATCACATGACCTATGTAGTTTACCAGTAAATTGAGTATAAAGTGATAACCACATAGCTCATATCTTGAATTGTTATCAAGCCTGGCATATTACATTTGGTTTTGTCAAATGTTTGTAGTCATGGTAGTTCGCTATAATAATTATCACAGTAAATCATTTTCAAATATTGTTGTGTAATGATTCAAAAACATGTCATTAACATAAAAAAGGTTGTGTTTTCAAGAAAACATGTGCAAAATAATCAAAAGAGCGGCCATTTTGGAACATTTTGCATAGGAATCCATGTAAACAGGAAATTCCTTGGATAACTTGTAACTAAAATTGGCCAATTTGACAGCCATAATACTACGTATATTTTTTTAGCATAGGTTACCAAACAAACTTTTGAGATATGATGGAATGTTTCTGCCATAGGAACTAATTGTAAAATACTCAAAACCATATATTTTGATTTCAGAATTTTGAATATTATAGTAACCCAACACCTGTTGCTTGATTTCATGGATAGTACTTGACTGTGTTAGCGCCAATGCTCGGTCAAGTGCCCTCCCCCACCTACTTTTGCGCAATTTTTATATTCAGGGTCACATTCGGCAAAGCGTCCACCCTTTAAAAATGACAATAATTTAAAACTTGGTCTTTGTTAATGTATACTGGTAATCGTTTTTACATGATACACTACAATGACCTGTTAAGAAAAGTTAAATGTGGTGAATATTTCATGCCATATTCAGTTTACCTATCAAAAATTGCTAGTTACCAGTTTTTTGAAAAAAAACCATGCCAGAAAGTCTTCGAGAATTTTCGAAGAATTGCCTTGGTACAACACAGCATTCTGATTGGTTAATAACAGACTTGACCCATTTAGTCATTGGACATTGGTGTAGGTCAAATTGTGGTCAAAACATCATAGCAAAAAGTGCTTTCAATCAAGAGTTTGCATACGATTCAACACATTCGTCAGTGGGGTCAATGATGAATATTTTGACTTTGATTGTGTTCCAACAAACTCTAATATTTTTAACCTTATAAATTCCGGTGGTACGTAATTAATATTGTAATAAAATGTGTATATTTTTTGTGACCATTTCTGTTTCTTCATTGTAAAAGTCGATGATGACGCAACTAATTTCATAATTTTATTTTCCCACAAAGACGTAATATCCCCTCAATCTGTCACATAGTGAATTAAAATTCATTTGCAATCTTTTCCGAGGGGAGTGCTCGTGTAAGCGCCCTCCCCTAAAAAGTCATGATTTTCTGAGTTGAGGACCTTGGGCACTAACGTGATTGAGTGCGATAGTAGCGAACTATCTTAATAATGTTTGTCACGATTACAAGATTTCACTAAACATAGAACCAAAGTAACCATAGAATGTTATTCAGCATGTTAAAAAGATCAAAAGGACTTACATGCTCAGATGATAACTAAAGGTCAATTTGAATCTCTCATCCTTACTGTGGCTTATCAGTGATTTGTTGTAAAGCCAAGGAAATTTGTCACCTTAACAAGCTAGGAAGCATCTGGTGAATCATTACAATGGAAGCAGTTATAAATACGTCTGCAATTTTAATTTTTGTTTACTTATTTGTTTGTTGGAATATAACGACTTAATCATGAATAATTAACCACTTTACAGGCTTAGTGACGTCATTTGTGAACCACATGTTTGCTATTACTAGCTTGCCTGTAAATGCTCACCAGACTTCATAGCAGCTGTCTAAAAACTGGTTACTTTGTAAACTTTTGGTGAGCCACGTACCCCACATACCAAACTGTAGTTACAACCACAGTTAGTTGCTGTGAGCTGAGAAGCATAAACCAAAATTGAATTGATCGATCTGAGTTAATGGCAAACTGCATTGAAGTACATGGTTTAAAATTAATAGTAGCCTAAGGCCACGGATTATAAAATCCCACACTCCCATATGTGTGGGTTGATATTTCTCACGCAATTTTGGAAAATGTCATTCCACCATGCCCTTAAGGCTGGAAGATTTTTTTTCTCTCACATCACCACAATATACATGGTACGTCATTAAACGAAAGAAACTTGCTTGAAGTGAAGTATTAGTTGCTATACTGCCCAATTAATAGATGTATTATTCCACAAATTGAAAAACGTAGTAAGGGGTACCTATTATCCGCTAGTATCAAACAGGTAGAAATTAATTATATATACCGGTATTACCAAGATAGTTTTTCTTGGGTTGTGATCAGCAGACACAAGTGATTACTACCAGTTTTATATCATTATTATTATTATACAACTGTCACCATAACGCCACAAGTTACAGCATGCTGTAATTTTACGTGTGTAAGCATCCTCTAATAATAATAAAAAAACCTGGCTGCCCCCAGGGTTTGACCAGATTCCACACAAAGAAGTTCGCTAAATCTGTTCTGAACTTTTTGGATGTCGGCATTCCCATGATGTATCCTTGGGAGGAAAAGGTGTATAATAATAAGGTTATTTCGAGGATACAGCAAAGTATGCACTCAGACAGTACGTCATCGTATCGACCCCAGCTGTGCGTCGTCGATAGTCCCGCTGTACTGTCTTTGTGCAAACTTTTTGGTATCCTCGTAATAACCTCATAGTATATGCTGATGTCAATATAAGAGAAAATATTGTGGGATTATATATCCTATCACATGCATGTTTCTACTGTATGAACAACCCAGCCTACACTGTGTTGCGATTCTGGTAGCCTGACAGTGAGTAGGCCCTCGCCGGCTGAATGGCATCAGTCTTCACTATAACGCCTGACAGAATAGTGTACGTCTCCGAATATCAATACTGCTAATTAGCAAAGTTCACGCCTTCTTCTTCTTCATTTTGGTGGTCATGGTAACACCGTCAATCAAAGCCATGTTTGCATTGCAGGCAAAAATCACAGACTGTTTTCAACAAGATGATAAACATTGGGCGGATATAAACTCTGCCGTGCATGGTTACTCTTTAATGTCACTATCTAATGTTCGTGCAATTTGATTGGTACTGACAAAAAATTGGGGGAAGTGAAAAACTACATCGTTCTGTCAGGCGTGTGTTGGGTTTGGAGCACCACAAAGGGCGAAACTCGTACGACCTCGTCAGGCTACGATTCTGGTTGTTCTTGATATTTAATTGCCAGGCATGTCCATTTGCCTTGCAAATATCACCTGTTTTATGCTTGTTTAGTCTGTCATTGACAATATTCTCGGCAGTGTGGAACATTTCTAAAGCTTCTATTAATGTCACCATAGCAACATTGTCGTCTGTCAACAATGTCAGCTCAATTTGTATTTCTGGCTCATATGTGTCTTTGCGTCTACTAATATTATCAAAGAACATTTACAAAACTGTTAATTGTACATGCATGTATATGCATAGTGTGGGGATGATTTAATCTCACACTGCTAGTCGCAAAAGATTTAAGAATACTTCTTGTCCTAAGGGACGACGTCAAAAGATCGATGTCGGATAAAAAACTTAATTCCTTTAGTTTTTTTCCAAACCCCCCCTACCCCTCACTGAAACTTAATTGATAAATATTGGTCATGGCGTCAGACTACATTCACCATTAAATACAAAATGATAATCGGACAGTAGTATTGCATAGCAGTTGGTTGTCGGGT